GGAAGCAGGCGTTGAACGACTGTATATAAACCTTCCCAGCATTTGCCTTTTTAACCCTGATGATGTCAAGTGCACTTGACGAAAGCTTGGTAGATTAAACTCTATATGTTTTATAGATTTCTCTTGGTGGTCGCTTTGTTTTATAATGAATATTCCCAAGAGTCGTATTTTTGTTTTTATTGCTGAATATATATATAGTAAGCCTCTAATTAGGTCCCAGTTATTTTTGTGAAATACTTTTGTTCTTAGTGGAAAATGTAGGATATTCTGATGAATAACTATAAATCTAAAATCACCTTTAATAATGCCACATGTTAAAGTCTCACCAAAGGTGGTGGTGGGGATTATATTAAAACAGAACAGACCGAAAACACACAAAGAGAAATAACTTTCTGGCCTGTTTTCATCACAGGCGTGATGTGAATAACTGATCAGAAGTGCCAGAGAAGGATGATTGATAAGAACACCAAAATTAATGAGTGGGTTATGCATTAGAGAAGATTTTAAAAATAGAAAATACTTCCACTTCCTGGACAGCTGTTTCTATTGAATCTTATTTTGCTAAATATGTTGTCACTGTTTTCATCAAAGCAGCAACAATTATTTTATTATGGCACACATTCATGCTCAAAATAGATTACCTGTAATAATCTTTTAAGTGATTAGGTTTATTCTAAAATGATAGGTCTGGTAATTATCTATAATTTAGCAACATTCAGTTCCATCATAATCTCTGTTAATTTCATTATCAGTTTTAAATAAACTGATGATAAGCCAATTGGCCCTCTTCATAAATTAATGTGAACTACAACACATTTATATTATTATTGCACGTAATAAAACAAGTTCAGCAGTAGGTATGCAAATCCAGCAAATAAATAATAAAGGACAATTTGCTGATTGATTATTTTGATACATTTAAAGAAATAAATTTTAAAAAGGAAAAAGGAAATAGACTGTATGGATGGCAATAGAAGTAATAGCTAAATAAAAGCAGTGTATGGACAGGTTATCATGACATAAAAACATAAAATTAATCCTAGGCCTCTGTATGTAGTAAAAGTGCCAGATCAAATTTTTAAGCAAGACAGAAAGCATTTAAAGCATTTAAAGCCTAAGTCCTAACTGATAGTGAGATAATAATAACTTCTATACAATGTACCATTAAAATACGTTTGATGTCTTAGTATTGGTTTTCTCATCCTTTTAAGATATCAGCCAATGAAAATGAATGGAAATGAAAATGTGATATAATGTGACATGTTTATTTGTGTGTGTGTTGTACACTATTACAGTATTAGAACAAATGCAATATGATATGTTTTAAATTATAGTGTTAGTTAACTGAATGTTCATTAAATTTCAAAGTTATTTCAAACTCTCCTTATGTAAAAGAAATACATATAGTTAGTTTTGCCTGAATAGCTGGTAACTATGAAGCATAACTAAATTTCTAGAACTGCAGCTGTTATATAATTTTTTTTAGCTGGTCTACCTGACTGCTACTGATAGAATAGCAGAAGAAATTAGGAAGAAATTTTAAGAACAGAAAAGGCCACAATGCAAGGCTACTTATTTAGTTTAGTTTTGGAAAGCAACTTCATTCACTGTAATTAAACTAATTCAGTCCTTGTTCAAGCAGAATATCCAGAAATAGAATTGAACCCAGAAATGAACAGCTGGTCTTCTCTATAAAGTTGCGCTGTGGTTTTGGCCATGGGAATAGCATGTTATCACATAGCACAGGGCTTTCTACACAGCAGACACCTTTCATGTATGCATGAAGGCTTATCAAATGACCTGAAACTTTGCACTATCAGATTTATATCAGCAGCCTTTTTATGGCTGTTGGTTCCCCAATCTAGTTCTAAGAATCACTATCAGCGGATAGAAATAAAGTCAAAAGCTATCAAGCATATGATTTTCCTGCCTTCTCACTTGACATATAGTGAGTAAGCATGTCAACTCCCACATTTAAAGGAGTCCCAGTTTACTTCAACTCAGGGAATAACTGTGGAAAGTAACTTGCAGGCTAATGGGTTCTGCAAAGCAAAAGCAAAAACAAACTCCATTCCACTCAACTCTTCCGAGGAAAACTTGATAGGAGATGTCCAAAGCCAAGGGCATAATAAAGTATATAAAAGAGTAATTTTTATTTTGTTTTTTTACTAATAAACAAATCGGGTCTTGTTTATTTCAAACATACTACCATGTCCCTGAATAGCAAGCAGTTATGCTATTTCAAACATTAATTGAATACTAATTTGCAGTAAATAACACTACTTTTTAAATATCAACATTGAGCTGACAAAGAGCTTACTTTACAAATAAGCAAATAGATGGACTATATTTTGAATTTTTAGAGTATCGTGATACATCAGATAGTTAAGAAATCATGCTAATATGTAACATTAAACCTCAGTTGTATAAAACATTATTTTATATATAAATTATTTTTTTCAAACAAAGGAAAACGCATAAACTACACCAAAGGTCTTTTTTTTCATATCTTAAACATTTTAGCATTTCATAAAAGGATGATTTTGTGAGGTACACATAGAACTTCATGTCCTCTGAGCCTCAGTTAACATGAATTAAGGAACCACTAACAACACACATAGCAGTTAACTTCAGGCCATGGGGGATATTTACTGATAACTATTACTCTGACAATATGATGCCTTATTTTGTCTTAATAAAGGTCCAAATGAACTAATTACAGTTACAACATGTCCACTGCAATTACCTAGGGAGACACTGTAATTAACATGAGTGAAAAGTAATACCTATGGTGATTATTTCTATCTAACAAGTGCTTCTTAAGACAACACAGTATCTGCTTATTTTTAAACAATTTTGTGGTTAGTTACAACATTCAAACTTATTAATCTTATTAGCTAACCATCTAATAGGTGGCTAGAGAAAGGACTAGTCCCATAATGATATTCTTCTATTTTTAGGTGAGGAGTAGATAAGTCCTTGCAATATTCCCATTCCCAATACACTGAACTGAGTCCATTTTTTTTTCTTTTGTACTCTCCTCATCATAAATGAGGTGGATAAAAATTACAGAGCGGCATTTTGTCTATGGATTAAGAGAAATGCAATTTTGGAAAAAATGCTGCAGTTTTTGAACTATTTACATAAAAGTTTATGTGCTTATGTGAAGGGCTTCCCTGCTAAATGATCAGAGTCTAATTTCTAGCATTCTGATATTTTTCTGGTAACTGTGGCTAGCCTTTTCAGAGGCAAAATGATCTGCTCCATAGCATACAGAAGTCCTTAACTTACAACTGGTGGTTTTATGTTTTTTCAAAATTATGATGGCTTTGGAATAAGTATTGTAAAATGTCACTTGACCCCCTGTGGTCATGTGACTGTACTATGGTTGCTTGGCAACTGACTCACATTTACAACTGGTTGTAGAAACTCATGATCATGTGGCCAAAAAAAAAAGTCGATTCAAAAGATTGGGTTCACTTACCAACTGTGCTGTTATTTAATGACATCATTTGCTTATTGACTGCTATAAAAAATGTCAGAAAAAATGGGTTCAGTCACATGGGTATCTCAACTAATAATCACAATGAGTTATGAGTGGATATTAGGTTGAGGAGAACTTGTCAGCAGCTCTGATCAGTCGTTGATTGGGCTCTTGTGTTTGTGATTAAGTAATCTAGCTTTTGACTGATATACCTGTCTAAAATGCACTGGATGTGTTAAATCACTGTTGATGAAAGTGGATTTATGTCATCCATAGGTGAGTGAATAATTATTTGGATTTACTTAATTGATTTATAAATTATTTTTACAATCTGTACTTTTCCCATTGGGGATGTTTTACCTATATCTCTCTATCTCTATCTCTATTTCCATCTATCTTTTGTTGGACTTAAAAATCACTGCTTCTGCACATGCCAGCCACAACTGCCAGTGAAATGTCATGATATCAGAGAACTGGCCCATAGCCATTTAGCCTAGAATGCTCATCCCCTTTTAATTGACGCCAGCTGTGAAAGCCTACACCAGTATATCTTTTGTGCTGTCTCATTATTTATTTCTGCACTTGATACATTCATACATTTTTAAAAACCTGCAAACTGCCATGGAATTACTTTTGATAAAGGACAAGAAAAACATTTTAGACAAATAAACACAGAAACATACTTTGCCTATTTTTACAAAATGCTATAGAAAGCAGATTTAATGAGGTAACATATTTTATTTCCATAAAATATTAAGAATGTCAGTGAAGACTTACTTTGATTTCTTCATGTATAGCCAGTAAGCAACACCTGCAACCGTTGCTGCTAGAAGAAGACCAACCACGATTCCCACTATCAATTTTGCCTGATCATTAATATTTTCCCTATTATCATCTAAATCAAAAGAAGAAAGGGATGATGGAGTGCTTTGAAGAAGATAAAATATGGAACACACACTATAGATTATAATATCCAAAAAGAATTTTTAAATTCAAAAGCTTATTTAGAAGCAGCAGCAACAACAAAAAGTTACCATTATGAGAGGGTACATATTTTACAGTATAAAGTTATCTTGGCTGCAATCCTTAAACCATTTGCCTTATCAACATTTTGGTGTTGCCCTTTTTTCACAAGGATGGCACAGATTTTACAAATGAGATTTTTGCAGTCTGAGAACTGTCTGAAAAAATCTACCTTTGAAGCATTAGGAATAGGCAGAGCAATCCTATGCCCAATCAAGTTTTGCTAAATGAGATAAGCAATTTATCTCCAACTGTCAGCATGGAAGGAATACATTTAGTTTAGCTATTTTCCTATTGTTTGAAGCCTGGGGTGGGGGTGGGGGGTGGGATAGGGTTCTTTTTTAGTTTAATCCTTTTTGCTTCACTCCTAGCAGACCTTCACAAGTTTCCTCTAAAGCAGTGATGGCGAATCTCTTAGAGACCGAGTGCCCAAAAACTGCCCCCGCCCCGCCCACCCGCTCTGCCAGCCCTGCCCCAGCCTCCACGTCCCACTGTAGCACCATGGCAGCCACGCCCTCCACCTACATCCTGCAGCATCATCTGCATGCAATGGGGTGCGAGGGCAGAGTCTTGTCCCCGCTGCGCTGCTCTGCATGGGCCACGCCCGGGGGCAACTCTCCTCCAGGGGCTGCTGGTGAGGTGGCTGTGGGGGGAGGCAGGGCTGGGGCAATGGCACGCGTGCCCACAGAGAGGGCTCTGAGTGCCGCCTCTGGCACATGTGCCATAGGTTTGCCACCACTGCTCTAAAGGCTTTTTGAGCTTGAGATTTTCTAGTTCTGGGTGGAAAAGAAAAGGAAAAACAGAACCACACAAACTGCCAAATATTTTCTATTTTACATTAAATCTCAATGCAGATTTAGCATTTCATTTTTGATGTGTGCTGTTGTGCCCACAGTAAAAAAAATGACAATAAATGTTATCTTATCTTATCTTATCTTATCTTATCTTATCTTATCTTATCTTATCTTATCTTATCTTATCTATCATAGAGGCTTCTTCTGTGCACAGACTTTCATTGAGTATAAATGCTGTTGGATACTGTTTAAAAACTGTGTTCTTGATTATCTAGTCAATTTGATCAGTTGCCATAACTGCACCCATCAAATAGATTATTTTTGACAATGTCAGAACACTTGAGCCATTATACTGGGTGAGAAACTAATATAAATGGTTTCTGTACTTTTTCCTGCAAAATAAAAAAATGGTTCTTTGTTAAGTCTATATAATACAGTATACAAAGAAAGATAGGTAGATAGATAGATGATAGATAGAAGATAGATAGATGATATATCTATCTATCTATCTATCTATATCTGTATCTATTTATCTATCTATCTATAGATAGATATAGATATAGATATATAGATATAGGTAGGTAGGTAGGTAGGTAGGTAGGTAGGTAGGTAGGTAGGTAGGTAGACAGACAGACAGACAGACAGACAGACAGACAGACACATAAGGTACTACAGAATTAGGAGATAAGTTCTGGAGTAAATGATTTAAGGATTACAGCCTTCTTTGTTAAATATCATATATTAAATACTGTTAAATACTAAATACAGTGGTACCTCAGTACTCATTGTTAATTGGATCTGGGAGGCACGATAAGTACCAGAAATGAGAACCAAACATTTTTTTCTTATACAGAATAATGTAGGGAGTCACAGGCAGTCGACATCGACAAGTTCTAGCTTGTATGTTGAGTACCAAACAAATGATGAGTACCAGGACAATATTTTCATGTCAAAATGCATTGAGCATTAAATTTGATGAGTTTCAAAGGAGTACCAGGGTACCACTGTATTACATACTTATTTTAGTTCCATATGAAGAGCAATGTAAATTTGTCAAAAATACAACTTTTTCTTACTATCCTTGTGTGCTTAGGTTAGATTTAGATTTAGGCAAATGTTGACTTTTCTGAAATCAGTTAAGATCTTGGACATTATTACTGTTTCCAATGAAAATTGCATGATGATGTTTGAGTTAAACTTTTATTTTACATAGTGATGTATTAGTACTATTTTGACTGCATAGCAGTAAAACCGAGCATTTAAAATTATTTCTATTTATTTTCCTTTTTAGAACCCTACCCTTAATCCAGAAAAATAAGTATACCTGTTTTGAATTAATAGTATTAAATGTGGAATATTTTTATGTTCTTACCACTTTTTTCTTCTGGTTCATCAGATTCTGGAATACTTACTGAAACAAAGGAACAACAACAAAATAAAGCTGCTGATATCTAAGTCACCTTCAAAATTTCCACCTTTAAAGATATTTAATAATCTATATTTCAGCTGAGCCCAAAATATTCTTAATGCAGCATCAGCCTCAAAACAAAATGATTAATCTTATTTTTAAGGCAGCAATCTTTATTTTGTATCTATAATGCATCATGTGAAAATGCTTTATTCTAAAAAATGACAAGTTTAATCTTACAAATGCCTAGTCAGAAGAAGTATTTATGTGTTGTTTTGTCCTGCATTCTGACTTTTTGTCACTTTATTACTGTAGACAGAGAGATGATTAAACTTTAGCACCATGAATGAATTTAGAAGTCAACCTTTGATCAACTCTTCTGGAGACCCTACACAGAATGAGAAGAGCCATCAAACAATTCATAGGAATTGCCCTGGATAGCCTCACTGAAAAAATCCCATAGTATAGGCTGCAAAACTGGGAATAATATAATTTATACATTTCAGGAATTTGGTAAATGGTACAAAAGTGTTCTATATATAGAAGTAAATCTTTATAATATGATAAGCTTATTCTTTGAGTGGTTAATAATTTGTCTAACTACATAATTGTCTATTGTGCACAAACTATGCACTTATTTGTTATGTTGGTCTTCACATGTTCTTCTGGAGACAGCACATTAATCATAATTCAGAATTGGAACATAAGAAACAGATAATTCAACAGCATTAATTCCTGTTATAATTTATTCATATGAGTATGTAGTTGTGTGTTAAAGACAACCACTGAATAGTTTGTAATTAGTGACAATGATTATAATTCCTCTTGTCATGACCATATTGAATTCATATATAATGCACATTCATCCATTAGTTTCTACAAAGTTTACTTTCCATACTTATGGCAAGAAATTGTACACCATTGGTGATTTCTTAAGGAAAAGGACTGGTTTAAAAGAATGACTAAAAAGTGTATTAATAATATGAAATTTTCATACTACAGAACCTATTTTAGAACCGCTGCTAAATTGCATATTCAGTAATAACTGATTTTCCATTAGTGCTATGCTGACGAGAAGAAAAATGAGAAACTCAAAGACTACATGCACTGAATAAGAGTGTTGACTATCATTAATGGCTCTCAACTTTGACAGCACCCTGAATTATATTTAAAAAATGAAAACAGAAGTTTCTCAATGTATTCTATTATAACCATTAATTATGGAGACATAATTTAGTCCAGGTCTGAGGTAGCATTGCTTAACTTAAAATTGGTAACCTGTTGTCACGTTAACAATAGTCTACCACAGCAGCAAATCTCAATAAATTCAGTGGACTGTATTTCTTGGTTAATTACATGAATATATTTATTGAACAACCAAGGGGAAGAATATGTCCATACAGATGGAAGAAAAACTTTGCCGTCTCTTTTACCCTGCTACTATGATGCAAGCAAGGTCTGGATTAAATGGTTCCTCTGCCTTTAGATATCAACCCACCTATAGGATTGCTCTTTTAAAAAGAAAACAGGTAGTTCTCAGATTACAAGAATTTTTTTTCAAAAGAATGACAACAAGAATGAAATATATAAAACCAAGAGATGATGAATTCTTATTATGGGATCAGATAGTATGGAGACTAATCAGTTAACAGTGTGTAAGTACAATCAAATTCATTTGCTTTTCTGCAGATATTCTGGAAAAATAACAAATATCAGAAATTACCATGGTGACACAAATCTAAGAAATAAGATGCTAATATACATGTCTTTTGTTAATGGGAGGACAATGAAGTAACTCATAAACAAAATTCTAACATGGAGCCACCTACACGTGAGCAAGAATACTAAGAATTGTTATGTAAGGGTAAATGAATAATGAAATAAAATCACCTTTGGACTTTTCTTCATATTTCTTCTTTAATATATTAAAAATAAATAAATACTTACTAGCAGATACATTCAAAGATGTGACAGCTCTTTCTAGTAGATTTTCAGCAATGCAGGTTAATGTAATATTTTCTTCAGGAGCAATTTTGATTTTACTAATAAATTTTCCATTGATATATTTAGTCTCTTCTGTCTGGAAACAAGTTTTCAAAACGGTTATTTCAAAGTAGGAAGAATCTGTAGGGACAGGTTTGTATGTGTGCATGCCTATTCATTCTCTTTGGCTAACTATATTAATGACATACATGCATGAACCTGTGTACATACCCTAGTACTCTGATTTCTACTGTTTATTTATTTCTATTATTTATTTATTTACTTACTTACTTACTTACTTACTTACTTACTTACTTACTTACTTACTTACTTACTTACTTACTTACTTACTTACTTAATTTGCCACGTCTTTATGATAAGGCAATTCTGATAATAAGTAAATCCATCACCTATATCTACTGCTGTAGTCTCTAGATCAATTTTCTATGCTACTAAATGGGATTTTTTTTTGCTTGTTTTTGCACCTTTGATTACTGGCAATTACATTGACTGATCCATGCATTTTTTTCTTAGCAATACTTTGGAAGTGATTTGCCATTGCCTTCTTCCTAGGATGGGAGGGAGTGATTGACCCAAAGTCACTAAGCTGATTTCATGCTAAAGACATGACTAGAACTCAGTTCTCTTAATTTCTAGCCTGATATTTTAGTCACCAACTCTCTTATTATTGGTTATTTATATTAATAAAAACCTTAATTTGCAAAAATTATGATCCAGTTAATTGCATGCTATGCATGTATGTGTGTATATAAAGTAAATTTATCCTATAACAAAACCAGTGCAGTTTTGAAGTTTGATTTTATATTAGTATAACAATATTATATACACTAGGAACTGTTGAAAACCTGTTCCTTACACTTGACTATGAGCATGACTGTACTTTGTTACATTATTTTTATATTATTTGTTTGATTTATTTTTTGATTGTTTTTAATTTTTTATGTATACCACACAAATTATGATGGTTTGCTTTATAAATTAAAATTTAACTAAATATATAATTAACTATTATTTGAAATTGTACTTGAAACAAGAGTACTATACCTTCATTTTCTTTTGTACTTGTTATATGCATTATGGATTATACATTATCAATATACAATTTACTGAACTGTAAATTGCTTCAGTAAGTTGTATATTGATAATGTACAGATCACAATGCATTCAAAAAGCCAAAGAATAAAAAAAAAAACTTCATCCCAGTAAACAGCAACCCAATACAGACACTAGATAACCTGATCAAGAGAACCCTTAAAGTCCTAACTAAGAATGGTCAAATCAGAAAAGAAAAACAATGGTGGATAAAAAGCAGTATACCTGTCGTCCCATACGTCTTTGCCCCAAAATACACAGCCCAACATATCTCTCTGTCCAACTCCATCATTATCAGGGATCTCAACATACAACATAGCTAAAGAACTTACAAAAAAGCTTGAGCAACTCAGAAAGGAGAGAAAATATTCTATTTTTTTATTACTGTCTTCATTCATGAGAAAATATTCTATTAATTCTCCAATAAAGTGGCTCCAAAAAAATCAAAGATCTAATAATAGAATAAGATGAGATTATGATTTCAGTTGATTTTTTACAGCCAGAGGCCCAGAATTAGCAAAATAATCCATGGCAGCAGTACTACACAGCACACCCAACCAAACCAAATACATTAAGATCCAAATCATGGAACTCATCAACTCTGCTTCACTACCTACTTTTAGTTTGATGGACAAATATACCAACAAATCAGAGAAACACCCATGAGATCACCATTCTCAGAAAGCAGAGACTCTAATGCAGCCTTTAGAAACTATAGAACTCCCACACATAAAATCAAAAGTATGGATCTGGTATGTAGATGACATCTTTGTCATAATAAAAAAGGAACAACTAGATGAAATAATCAACAGCATTTTCAAGGAATAAAATTCATAAGGAGATAAGAAAATATCAACACACTACCCTTCCTGTATATCCTCATCAGCAGAGGAAATGCAGCAAATTAGAAACAGAAGCCCATTGAAAAACCACTCACATTTACTAAACGTTCCATTACCAAAGTAATAACCCAACCTGTCACAAGAGCTGCTGTGTAAGAACATTATTTAGATGAGTACAAACTCACTACAGCAACCCAGAATACCAGAAAAAGGCAGCAGGCCATCTTTTGTTCTTTAGTCTGATAATGAAACAACCAAGTTCAGAAGGCAGTAAGAAGTTCACAATGCTGTATCTGTTGCAGTTGAAATAAGCATACAAAAAATAGTGAGAAAATTACTTGCTTTATTTATGACACCTCCACTGCTAGTCCACTGTACTGCAGGTTTGGGAAATCCTTCTACATGACAGGCTATAGTTTTATAAGATCCATCTGGGCTGGTTCTCTTCGACATTTTGATCTGAGGCTTTCCTTAAAATGCAAAACAATTTTTTAAATTGTTTATTTATTGCTACATTCATAGTGCTGAATCACCATGGGATTCAAGACCAATTAAAATACATTAAACAGTACAAATTTGAAACCACTTAATCTTATTCAAGCCCATATTTTTCATGCCCCATATATGTGTGTGTATGTGTGTATGTAGACATACACAGATGCAGAGAGAGACATGATGCTGAATCATAAAAAATACTTTTATTTCTTAAAAGCTAGACAAACACTTTTAATTTTATTTCTTTTTGTAGTATTAGATTTGAGTATTTTATAGCTGGTGGGCATTTCATAATTATGTAGCAACATACAAACTAGACACAACAACAATATAGAATAGTAAGAATCTACATTACCTTGTACTATCAGTGTCAGAATTTGACTTTTCTTTAAGCCTTCAACTTCTTGTAAAGTTGTTTCACAGATGTAATTTCCTGCATCTTGGTACTGCAAACTTGAAAAAGAAGGACTTGACCGCATTCTGTTATTATCCTATTAAAAAAAAGCCCATATCCTTAGGAACCTATTTTCTTCAACGAAAAAAAAATCAAAATTCTTCAACTCAATTAGTTTGAACTAAGCCAGTGATGGCAAACCTTTTAGAGACCGAGTGCTCAAACTGCAATCCAAAACCCACTTATGCATTGTCGGGTGCCGGGTGGGTGTGGCCCACCATTGGCTGGGCGTGGCCCATTGGCTGGGCGTGGCTGCGGTGGTAATGGCAGACTGGGTGGGACTAAAAAGTTCAATCAATCAATTATCAATTCCAACTTTGCAAGATTTTTTTTCCTGCGAGAAGTTGAAATTGACTGATTGATTGAATTATTTTTTTTTTTGCACACGGTGTCGGAGGCCTAAAGCAAAAAGGTTTTATAAAACCCAGCTGAAGGCCTAGGACTGGGACGACAGCGCGCGTGCCCACAGAGAAGGCTCTGAGTGTCGCCTCTGGCACCCATGCCATAAGTTCGCCATCACTGAACTAAGCACTTTGGAGAGTACTAGCAAACAATTTTTACTGATTCTCCAATTAAACTGTATTTAATACTAAATAAAAAAAACTACTTACATTGTTATCTGCACTAAAACCCATTTTTTATGTTTTAAAAAATGATTACAGTACATCTTGACCCTTATTATTGTATTTATCAATAAAAATATTTATATCCACTTCTCAATTTGTCATGGGAACTTTCCACAAGTTATGCAATGCAATCCCCTCTTCTAAATTAAAGCAGAGCTTGTAATTTCCTTCTATAAATTTGAAGCCAACGGATGGCTATCTAGTCTCTGCTTAGAAGTGTCCAGGAAAGAGGAGCCCACCAGATCTTGTAGTAATTAGTTTTGGCTTGAACAAAATGTCTTAGAAGACATTTCTAAGAAGAAATGCACAATACAGAGACAACCTCATTTTTCTCCTCAAAGTGAAGAGGCAATTGCAAATATGCTTCAACTTGCATTTTTTTAATTCTTTCAAATAACTCTTACATGGACTATGCTTTGGATCCAACAGAAATTTTTGAGAGGACTACTCAGCATTCTTCAGAATTTACCAGAAGAGGTTTCTGTGCAAGTGTTATGCTAAGGAGTAGCTAAGCAAACAGAAACAACACACTCGTTTTGTTTCACTGCTTAAAATGGAAGGGCCGTATTGCTTCATGAAGCAATTTTATGGGAGATTATCACTCAAATCTTCAGAAAAGTAAAACAGCTGTTTGAGGATTTGACAGTTTTAACTGGTTCTGGGTCAAGCAGTTCTAATAGTTAGAAAGCTTTTTCCAAGTTTAAATTAAACTCAACAATGCATTAAATGTAGATAGTATTTTGCCCATGTTTAATAATTTCCTTCTTCTGCATATTAAACATTACAATTTAGGAAACAATTTTGGAAGAGTTCTAATATCTGTGCACAATATTTAGAGGGCTGCATTTGGTCTTTGGCCTTAGACTGTGCACCCATTTAGGTTCTGATGAACTTTAAGGATCATCGTTCCAGATATAGTAATGAGTTAAGAACAGCCAAGTTAAAAATACTTACCTTCAGCCAGAATACAGTAGCATTTTTACTGGAAGAAATTGTACAAGATACAGGCAATGCTTCTCCAATCTGTTTAATAACTTCTCCACTGGGAGTAAGTGACAAATCCAAATCTATGTTGAAGAAATTCAGGATTGTTATTTATGTTCATAAACATTGCTTACTGTGGTTTAAAAAAGGGAAAAAAGAAAGAAAAGGCAGAATTGTTTGGTAATTTCAGTTATAGCTGCAACTATTAGACGTTTACTTTTCACAAAAGGACTGAAAATAAACTTCTGAAGAAGAAATATTTGCATGTTCAGTACTATATGTGTGTATGTACTGCATGTGTGTTTGTAAGTGAATGAATATACACACAAACATACATATATGTGTAATCAATGGATAGCATAAAATGGAACACTTCATTTTTTACTTTAAAAAGATTTTTCAGTAAAGAAAAATATGAAAATGAGAAAACGGTAAGAAGTACTCTATCTGTATATTTTTTTTCTTTAAAGAAACAATATTTAGAAGAGTAAGAGGCATTTCAATACAACTACTTCTTTCTTCAGTCTTGCTTCCATGATACATTCTAGCACCAGCAGTACAGCGGTTTCAGAATTAATTGAAAAAATCCAAAAGTTATAATTCATTCACCAAGCACCTCCAGCGCCATCAAATTTACTTTTGTTGTTAAAACGTGGTTGTTAAAACATTCAGCATTGACACACTATGTAAATTTTAGTTCACATGGCACATATTTGTTTTTCCTATCTTAGCTTATCTTTTCTGACCACCCAACATTCATTATTGTTGTTTCAAAAAACTGATAAATTAGCCATCAACAGATAAACAGACATACACAATATCTACATACTATACAAAAGAGACAATCAACAAGCCAAAATAGGAACAAAAAGACCAAACCACTTTCCCATCAGCAACCAGCACTCAGAGGAGCATAGATTAACTCCAACATTAACATCGGGTCAACAATCAAGTAAACAACAGCCCAATCAAGGAACTGCCAAACAAGTCAAGAGTAAATAAATAAATAAATAAATAAATATTAATAATAATAATAATAATAATATTATTATTAATAATAATAATAATAATATTAATAATATTAATAATAATAATAATGATAAAGTTGGAAGGGACCTTGGAGGTCATCTAGTCCAACCCCCTGCTCAGGCAGGAAACCCTATACCATTTTGGACAAGTGGCTGTCCAGTTTCTTCTTAAAAACTTCCAGTGTTGGTGCATTCACCGCTTCTGGAGGCAGGTTGTTCCACTGGTTAATTGTTCTAACTGTCAGGAAGTTTCTCCTTAGTTCTAGGTTGCTTCTCTCTTTGGTTAGTTTCCACCTGTTGCTCCTTGTCCTGCCTTCAGGCGCTTTGGAAAATAGCTTGACTCCCTCTTCTTTGTGGCAGCCCCTGAGATATTGGAACACTGCTATCATGTCCCCCCTCATCCTTCTCTTTGTTAAACTAGACATATCCAATTCCAGCAACCGTTCCTTATATGTTTTAGCCTCCAGTCCCCTAATCACATTTATTGTCCTGTTAAGGTTTTCCTGTTCCACCCATTATTTTGGGAGTATGACCAAAAGCCATTTGTAAATCCTGGCCAGGAAAACATACAAAACACATGTAGTAAGTATAAAGAAGCACATCTTCTTACAAAGATATTATTTATTTTTTGTATTTTAAAACCTCTATTAAGAATGTTCCTAGTTTGATGCAAGCATGTACATACTAAAAACGGGGTTTTTTTTCCTTCAGAAACACACTATTATTGGTGAGCATACTGACAGATTTATTAATAAATCAACTAAATCCTATGATTAAGCAACTAAAATGTCTATCTGAGAGAAAACCTACAGATATATTAGCTCAAGCAGAAATAAATCTCTGCCACAGTCTCATTCCACTCACTCTAGATGAATTGAAGAAATGAGAGTTTTTGTGTGCTTTATGATGAATTATTTCCTATAAACCCAAAAACCCTCATGACAATTTTTGATAGTGTATTTTATCCTATGATAAAGGAATGCAAATAGGAAAAATAGGATTATATTCATAAGCAAGGGCACCTATATCAATATTTTCTGATATGCAGAAACACAAAAATGCAGAAAAATAATAACTGAGGGCATTCCCTTTCAATGGACTATGCTAACCATACATCTTATGTGACATACAAATGCAGTCTCTAATCCTTAATTCTAGAATATCTTTCTCTCTCTATTCCTACCTCCCCAATAACAAAACCACCATATTATAACTGTGGAATAATACAATATTCTCTTTCTTTATGCTTTAAGCAGTCCAAATGTTAAAGATAAGAAAATAAGAAAATATTTATATTCCACATGAAATCTGAATATCAGTTAAAAACAAAATCAGAACATTAGAGGCAAAAAGAGAAAAACAAACAGATGAATGGAAAAAAATCATACCTCTGAACTTTTAAAATAAATCTCAGATATGAATTTTTTTAAAAAAAAAAACTTAGCTTAACTCTGACAGAAACATCCATGTATAATTTAATCAAGAGACAAAAGCCTTGGCATATATTACAAAATGATGTACGACTACAAGAAAGAATGAAAGAAAATTACTTACAATGTACTGTAACTGTTGTGGAATCTATCAAACTTTCATCAGTCAGAGAACATCTGTATTTGCCTGTTGCATTTCTTCTTACATCAGTCAACACATGAAAACTGGAACTTCGAATTGGTCCCAGCTCTCCCTTTTAAAAAAATGTTAAATAAAAGTTTGCAATACAGTAAAATAAGATTTTGTGTATAGTTTCTACAGAAGTTTACTTATGTTTTCAGGTTTTTTTGTACTATTGTTTCTTGCTTCAGCCTTCTTGATAAATTTTATGTAAACTTGATGATATCACATAGTGAACTAGTGTATACTGTTGTAGTGTACACATTTTAAAAATAAAACTGAATAAAATTTAGAGGGGAAAAAACAAAAAAATAACCGGGAAGGTAGGAATGGAAAGATGTGAGGCTGATTAACAGAATAGTGTGAGAAAGAGATCCTCTTGTCTAAACCAAATTGCGTCTTTCCCAAATTTAAGAGGTTTGACAGATAAGCAATACTTACTGGGATGAAAAATAAGAACTCCTGAGGTGGAGGATTACCATTTCCTGAACATTTTAGGGTAATGTTATCACCTTCCTTTATTGTTTTTCTTTGTGAAAGAATCTCAATCTGAACCTTTTCAGTGGGATCTGTAAAGCAACATAAATTGGTTAATAATCTGACTTTTGCAAATACGTAAGATAGGTAAAATAAACATGTATGAATCAAAGGCAGTAAAGCTCTATGAATCAAGAACTTTATGCCAAATAAAAGTGCTGGGGCTAGCCTGGGGTTGTCTTGACAAAATATTGGGCTGTCTTAGCTGGCAAATAACCAGTGTGGCAATCTTGATTCAGAGCTTCTACTCTTCCTCTCCAAATGGTGTTCTCAAGACTTATGTCACCTTCCCATTTAGTAACTGCATAATCAGCATATAGTAATAGCAATTAGACTTACATACCGTTCCATAGCGCTGTAGAGCACTCTCTGAGTGTTTACAAATATCAGCATATTGCTTCCAACAATCTCGGTCCTCATTTTACCAATCTCAGAAGGATGGAAGGCTGAGTCAGTCTGGAGCCAGGCAGGACTGAATTCCTGACTGTTGGCAGAGCTAGCCTGCAATACTGCATTCTAACCACTGACCATCACTGCTCATATACGTGAAACGTCACTGTAAAAAGGGGGTCTCCAAATTTGGTAACTTCAAGATTTGTATCTCTGTAGATTCTCAATCATCCAGGTCATGATTGTCCCAAAGGTGCTTTTCAAAAGGCAACTGGACTTTCTTGGTTTTTTTTTTTCTCTTGAAGATGTTTTGCTTCTCCAGTTCTTCAACTTCCAGAATTCCCTAGCCAGCATGGTTTGCTGAGGAATTCTAGGAGTTAAAGTTCACAAGTTTTAAAGTTGCCAAGTTTGAAGACCCCTACTGTAGAACTTTACTGTAGTTCAGAATTTTGGAATGAAAGACTTAAATATTCTCTCTCTCTCTCTCTCTCTCTCTCT